ACTGAGAGTTTAGAATGCTATGATACATCATTCATGTGATGCATTCATTTTAGTTTTTAAATTCCCAATGAAAAGCTAGAAAATTGTATGTATTACAAATGCCAGAGACATACAGTAGTATAAAATGCAAATCCACTCCCTCCTAAAACACATTAAGCTAAAATATGATTGGATCTCATCTAGGAAAATGTTGAGAAGTACAATTCTTTCTAATACATTTTGAAGATCCATTGCCATGACATTCTTGTTCACTTATCATTAGAAACTTTTGATGAAAATGCTTTTCTATATTAGTAAACCTTTATTTAGTCATTGGAATATTTGGAAGAGGCAAGGAAGCTAAAACAATAGTTCTTATAGGTTCAACTTGTGTGTGCAAGAAGGCTTAGGCTCCCTCTGGTGGTGGTAAGGTCTCACTATTTTTATTCAAAAATATTGATGATGTGAAGATGAGATTGCCAGAGTAAAGTGATGTTTCCGTTAAAGACAAAACAGAATTCTGATTCCTTAACGATTTACAATGTAGGTTCTGGAAGTGACTCCTGAATGGTCTTCAGTAGCTAGGTTACTGAGCTCTGTGGCTTCTTAGTCCTTCTTTAATTCTCACAGAGGGAGTAGATTAAGCTTTCTCTTAATCATGTCTATTTTGACCATTCAGGAATATGATGAGGAATTACAGAAATATTTGTTAAGGGCTTTGAGTTTTTAAAATAAATATGTTTTGTAAACTTACAGTTTTCTTAGTAATATTTTCAAGTCTAAATTTCCTTTTAGAGCAGTGTTCAGTAGTAAGATCACAAAAGCATTAAATCAAATGCTACCATGTTTATTTTTTAGTTTATTATAGCACATAAAAATATAGTGTATTGTATCCTATAGTATAATATGTAGTGTTTTCTAGTTGATATTAAGTGGAAAGTTAGGGAGATGGAAAAGACTACATGCAATGATGAGGTTTAAACACTTTGTAGATTTAATGGGGCGCCTGGGTGGCTTAGTTGGTTAAGCGTCCGACTTTCGCTTAGGTCACGATCTCGCAGTTTGTGGGTTCAAGCCCCGCATCGGGCTCTGTGCTGACTGCCAGCTCAGAGCCTGGAGCCTGTTTCAGAGTCTGTGACTCCCTCTCTCTCTGACCTTCCCCTGCTCACGCTGTCTCTCTCTCTCTCTCCTAGAAATAAATAAAACATTAAAAAAAAAAAAAAAAGAAACACTTTGTAGATTTAAGAAGTGTTGTTCTTATTTTAGAGTTTTGGAAGAATGGGAAATGATGTTTCTAAATGATGTCTCATCAAAGCTAATTTCTCTGAAAAATGAATATTTAAATTGGGCTATTGGTATAAGGTATAGATGAGGGATGTTTTTGAAAAATACTGGACTAATATTAGACTTCATGTGTATTTTTATATGTGTTCTATTATTTCCTTAGGAACTTATTTGGAGAGTTCAAATAAAACATCTGCATAATAAAGAGCCTTTTAATTAAGAAAAATGGTTGTCAAAATCCCACAGCTTTCTAATTCACAAAATGATGTTGAGTTGCAGATCATAAAATCATCCTAAATTATTGATTAAATGTGTGCAGATGTAAGCATAAGAATAATATATTCCTCATTAGCATGTTGCCTGTATTTACATCTGTTAAATCACAGGTGGTCTAGCAATTGGAGGAAATTCTTGTTTTAAGTTTTGGAGCTTCTCCCTACCATAAAGCTGCTTGAAATGCTGAGCATTTCAGAACTCAGTTAACTTAAACATATGACTATTATAGATGCTTATTATAGGTGCTATAGAACTTAAACATCTAGACTAAATTCCTCAATCTTTTAGGACCAGTATTTATGGCTGGAGGGACTAATGTTCCCGTTTGGGTTAAGATAACATTTCTGCTGGGGTACATGGATGGCTCAGTCAGTTGAACGTCTGACTTCGGCTCAGGTCATGATCTCATGGCTCATGAGTTCGAGTCCTATGTTGGTCTCTGTGCTGAGAGTTCAGAGCCTGGAGTCTGCTTTAGATTCTGTGTCTCCCTCTCTTTCTGCCCCTCTCCCACCTGCTCTGTCTCTCTCTCAAAAGTAAATAAAAACCTTTACAAATATTAAAAAAAAAATAGGGCGCCTGGGTGGCTCAGTCAGTTAGGTGTCCGACTTGGGCTCAGGGCATGATCTCACTGGTTTGTGAGTTCGAGTCCTGCGTTGGGCTCTGTGCTGACAGCTCAGAGCCTGGGGCCTGTTTCTGATTCTGTGTCTCCCTCTCTCTCTACCTCTCCTCCACTCTCACTCTGTCTCTCTCAAAAATAAACATTAAAAAAAATCACTTATAAAAATATTTTTAAAAAGATAACATTTCTGCTAATTCTTACAAGATAGGAATGAAAGGTATTGCCTGTGGAATTGCAACAATAGCAATTTCTTAAAACATGGAAATATTTTTAAGTTTTTTTTTTTTTTTTTTTTTTCTAATAACTAAAGTTAGAAAGTCTCTTGACCACGACCGCACAGAGTCTGCTTGGGATTCTGTCTCCCTTCCTTCTGCCACTCCCCTGCTTGTGCTCTCTCTCTCAAAATAGTAAATAAACTTAAAAAATTCTCCTGACCGAAAATAAATCAGAAAAGATAGGTAAGTATGAGTAATAAAATCCCTGCAATTCCAGTACTCAGATATATCCACTGTTATCAAGTTGTTTTGTATGTTGCTCCTATTCATCATCTCTCAGGAGCCTGGTGTGGTGGTCGTGGGGGGCAGGCACGTCCTACGTGCCCCTCACCGCTTTTTCTTTCTCCCTGAGTACTCAGTTTTGAATCGCATGCTGTCAAATTATATCCCTCCTTGTAGCTCATCAACTGTGCCCTGGGTCACTTATCTCATTCCTTGAAGATTCAGTTCCTGCTTTGCTGTCATTCTCTCCAACACTGTTTCAGTAATCACATAATGGATCTCTACAGTGACCTGGCCTCGAAGTTCCTCCACCAACCATAGCTACTTTACTTTCAGATCATACCTTTGACCAGTTATTTTCAGTCTGGGGCAGTTTTGTGCCCTATGGGACATTTGACAATTCCTGGACGCATTTTTGCTTGTCACAGTGGGGAGGTATTACTGACATCATGGGCAGTCACCACAGGTGCTACTAATCATCCTTTAATGCAGAGGACAGCCCTCTACAGTGAAGAATTAACTGACCCAACATGTCAGTAGTGTTAAGGTTGAGAAACCCTGCTAGACTCAAAGATAACCTCACTATTGCATCTTTCAGAGATAAGAATGATTATCAATAGAATGGCTTCCTAACCTAGATATTCTGTAATACTGTAGGCTATTGGGTGACCTTCTGTGACAATTAGATGCTGATGTATAGGTAAAGCAGAACTTCTCTGGGAATGGAATAAATAGCTTAGTGCTTTTTTAGTGTTAGCACCTTCTCTGGCAGTATCATTTAAAATATTGTCTAGTGAATTACACCAGCCAAACCTAGGAAAGGCATACTCCTTACAGAAAATCCTTTCAAAGAAGCATTTCTTAAGATTTTTTTTAAGCGTATAGGGGCATCTGGGTGGCTCAGTTGGTTGAGTGTCTGACTCTTGATTTCAGCTCAGGTCACAATCTCATGGTTCGTGAGATGAAGCCCTGCATCAGGCTTTGTGCTGACAGTGTAGAGCCTGCTTGGGATTATCTCTTTCCTTCTCTCCCTGCCCCTCCCCTCTCTCTGTCTCTCCTGCTCTATCAAAATAAACTTAAAAAAAAAGATTTTTAAGCATATAATTTTATTATATAACAAAATCAATATTTAACAATATCACATTTTTACATTTGAGACCATGGTTTCATCCCCTCCCCTTATCTTCTACATTTTGATTCCTTTTCAGTTGACTAAAAGGCCTTTACAAATTTTTTTCCATAAGACAAAAAATCAGTCAATTTAATTGCTAGAAAGTAGCTTATTGTATTCTGTAGGCTCAGAAAGTCCTACCGGAATGCCTTAGTGGTGTCTTACAACTGAGAAAAATGAAAGCAATGACAGTCTCATATGTTGAAAGTGATACTGAGCCCAAAAAAGCCAATACAGATTATGAATGTAAAATTCCATAGGGCAGAGTACTGCTGTGGCTTTGCATAGCACCAGGCCTTTTAACTGTTAGGTTTTGGGTCCTTTCTTTGGGCCTTTATTAGGCCTTGGTTCTGTTGAAAGGACTAATGAAAGCTTATCATTTTCTCACTAGGAAAAAAAGCCATTCTGAGGCAGCCTTTGCAGTGACAATAGATTTCTAATATTCATTGCTATTGTGGGGAGGGTGAACACATGCATGATGACTTTGAATTTCTCATTCTAGGAAATTAAAAGTAGTGGTATAATTTCTACTCAAGTTATTGTTGGGGATTTGTGGGGGATAGAGATGGGGATGGAGATGGGCATACAGAGGTGACAGTATGAGTCACATATAGGTCGCAGTATTTCTGAGCCCATGCTCTGGTTCAGAAACACAACATGAAATGTAATATGAAAGATAGGTAGGTCACTGGCACAGTCTGCTGGTCAGGGCTGTCGCACCACTTCCCTCTCCCTGTGGTTGCTGCTTCTACTAGGTAATCACAGATCATGTTGGGAATCTTTCCTATTAATAGTATGAGGATGAGTCCTTTGCCTTTACTTAGAAATAGCCAGAAGGACCAGAAACAGAAGCCCTGAATCATGTTCACTATAAAATCACCACTGGAGGGTGTATGGATTTGCTCCTCAATTTCTAGGCTGTTTTACCAGATAAAGCTCTGGCTGTGGCTGGTTTTTATGTGATTTTTTTCAGTAGTGCTAGCAGATTAATTATCTGGTATCCTTATGCTATCCCACATTGGCTCTCCCTGCCCAGTTTTTCATTGTCTGGTCTCAGCTGGCAAATAGGAACTTCACAGTCTGAACACTATTAATGTAGCTATGCTAAAGTAAGCTATTAGATTGTTAGATGAAGCATGTTTGCAGAGATAATTGGTGTTTTCTCTATTCGTAGGAGGAGCCCTGATATCCAAGCAAAAGAAGAGTTATGGAAGCATATTCAGTAAGTACTGACTTTTTTCCCCCCTCTTATTGTTTCAAAACCCATATAGTGTTAAGGGATTTATGAGGGAGATCATGGACACCAAGAGGCTGCCTCTGGCTGAAGCCTGTCACGTAGTCTTTCTTCATTGCCATCATTATGTGGTACATGGAACTCACATTAGTGGTGGCTTCCCATGCCAGTAGCCCTGACATCTCTAAGTTGTAAATGGGCCTCAGACAGGAAAATATGTTACAAATAAACACTAGAGAAGGAAAAAAGACCCCTACTACAGGGGAGAGAAGCAGATCTTTTGTAAGGAAATGATGGATGGAGAGTCATCTACATTCTAGTTGTACAAAGACAGGAAAAAACATAGAGCCACAGAAAAGGGCTCTCCCCCACCCCCCATTTTTCCTTGAATACATACTGGTTTTTTAATCTTTGCTCCTGGCTTATATTTCTTTTAGTTTTACTGATAATTGTGTTTGGGGAAAAGATTAGGATGGAAAATCTCATCTGCCAGTTGTATTTGTATCAGCTTCATAAATTTAATTTTCTTGCTTACTTCCTTCTAGAAAGGAACTTGTGGATCCTTCTGGATTATCTGAAGAACAATTAAAAGAGATTCCATACACTAAAATAGAGTGAGTAGGTCTTTGAAAGTCTTGTCACAAAAGTTTTATTGCTACTTATAAGTGAATAGTCCATTCTTATTTTCCAGTGGTATTCCATGAAGTGCTTTAATTTGTCTTTACATTTTAACTAAAATTATAACTGTAGGGAAAGAGGTAGAAAAGGGTGTAGTAAAGCTAATTGTTATTTTGTACTATAGTCACAATCATCTGTTGACCACCTATTTGTTGTAGGTACAAAGGGGCTTTTGATGATTAATGTGTTCTAAAACCTAAATACTTTTTTTGAGGGATTCATTGATTGATAATAATGTTTTTTTGTTTTTTACTCACTACAAGACAGGTTGGCCACAAATCCTGCCACATAAGCCCAATCCAATCCCTGTCATAGAACTAGAACATTGAATGTATTTCATGGAAGCCTAACATGATTCCCTAATCACAATTCAGTGTAGGCAGGATGCAGCAGCAGATGACTTGTGTGTTTTCTGCCCTGCTGTAATTGGTAAGGAGAAAGGGGGTGGTTCTATTTCTTTGCTTAATTTCCCTCTGTAACCCATGCTTTCTTCCCACTCTGGTCAAACGGCTGGTTTGTACACACTCTCCCCAACTACCCTTCCTACCCCCTTATCTCTTGGCCAAAGATTGAATCCTTAATGACAGGCTAATTAGTAGCTAGGACAGGGACCAATCTTTTCTGGTAGGAATGCCACTTTGTCTGTTACAGATTTTTTTTTTTCTTTCATACTATTGGAAAAATTTCAACTGTGGGGAATAGTTTCACTACAATTTTTCAGTAAAAAAATATACACCCATGTACATACAAATACTAGAGTTTGTTTTGCATGTATGGTCAAGGGGGCAGTTTTCTGTTGTTAGCTCAGCTCGTGAAATTTAAGCCACTTAGGCTTTCTAAGCTCAGAGGGATCACGTTCTTTTTAAATTCTCGAAGTCATTCCTTTGTGGTTTCCATATTAAGGAAAAATTCCAAACTATCCTTTTCTTTCTTCTGGTTTATTTCCATGTTTTTGGCTACTTATTCAGGACTCAAGGTGACCCCATCCGCATCAGGCATTCCCATTCACCGCGAAGTTACCGCCAGTATCGAAGGTCTCAGTGTTCAGATGGAGAGCGATCTGTTCTCTCGGAGGTGAAGTAAGTAGGCAAGCTTGAATACATCATCACTTGCATGACTCCAGCTCTGGAACACCACGGTACATTAGGACTTTCTGCAATGATGGAAATGTTCTGTATCTGTGGTTGTGGAGTATTTGTAAGATGACTAGTGTGATTGAGAAACTGAAAATTTAATATTCTTAATTTTAATTAAATTTAAGTAGCCCTATGTGGCCAGTGACTACCATATTGGACAGCACAGACCTAGACCATACTTAGGCTGAATCATGGCACCTCCAAGCTATGCATTTTTTTTTACAAGAAAAAAATGCATAAACTATTCTGTTGTGAATAATACATCCTTATTTGAGAGGTGACATATGTTTCTTTTTGATCTGATGACATTTTCTTTTACTACAGCAAATATCATATGTTGTAGTCATTTCTTGTGTTAGTTTTTCTTTTGAGGAAAGTGACTATATCTCAAAGTATAGTCACAAGAGGTGCTATATTTTAAATGAATATGTTAATGCAATACTTATGCATCATGTACTTGGTATTGCTGGGTAGGAATGTTAATCATTGAACTCTGAATTAAGGCTCAAAATTTTGATAAACATTAATAAGTTGGGAAATAGGCTAGCCCAACCAAGAGAGGTATAGACCAGGTTTTGTTTGTTTTTTGTAAAATGTAGAACATGCCTGTTTATAGCTCCATAGGTTTATAGAGAAAGAATAAATGGTCAATAAATGCTTCTTTAGAAACAAATCAAAAGGCCGTTTATACATGTCACAGTAACACAACCACACTTATGTTTTATTCTGGCTTCTTCTATTTGTTATGATTTTGAGCAGGTTACTTAACCTGCCCAACTTAATTCAAAAAACATTTATTAAACATCTGTGTAAAGCACTGTGGTAGGTACGGTAAGGAATACAAAGGTACATAAAACATGTTTTCTATTCTGTAGTCCTCTTCCACCTCAAGTTGTGATTCTAGGTACTATCTCAATCATTAATTCTAAAACAAATTCTCTGCAGTTCAAAAACGGACCTTGTACCTCCACTTCCTGTGACACGTTCTTCAGATGCTCAGGGTTCTGGTGGCTCCACAGTTCATCAGGTGGGTAATAATCAAGTTTCAAAATATTGGTACTGATGAAAATTTTTGAGAAGCACTTTTCTGAAAGTTGTTTTGGGGAAATAAGAAAATGAATCTCTAACTACATTCTGAGATTCCATAATTGTAAAAGGTGGTATGCAAAACGTGGAAGGAGGGGTACATGATCAAGACACAGCACAGCATGGCAAGAGTTAAGTTAGAAGTAAGGACTAGAGCTAGTGCAAGGTCTTGGATGATGTCATGCTTGAAGCAAAACCAGGGATAACGAAGATGGTCAGATTATGTGAAACCAGAGCAAAGAAACGTAAATTAGTGAAAATAGGTTCACTAATTTAAAAAAATCTTTTAGATATTTTTTGAGCCAGAGAAGCAAGGAGAAAGTGGTAGACTTAAGAGCAGGCACATATTCTCTTATTAACTGATGGCAGACAGAAGTACTCAAATCCTATTTCATTTGTCTTCTCCATCAAAGAAAATTACTTTTGTCCTGGAAATGTTTTTTAAAAATGTGGTTAAAAGGGAATTCAAGGGCAGAGTAAAGTTATCTGCCTTAATAAAATCAGTTTAATACTCAGCTGAATTAGATATAAGAGGAGAGCACTGTAGTAAACATTTTGCAGCAAGGTATTTGACACCATCTCTCATGGTAAATGAGAGAAAAAAAGTAGGCTGTGTTGGGTAATGGGATGCATTTGTATCTGGTTAAACCATCACTCTAAGAACAAAGTTGATGTTTATAATGGATCATTGTCCGCCCATTGTTTGTAGTGATGTGGTGTTCATTCTTTTTTAGATCCTCGATCCCTTTGGAAAGCAATTATAACTACTGTCTCTCTCCCATAAAAAGGCATGTAAGCACACACATAGTTTTGTATGTAAATCCAGGTAGTTTATGGATAGTTTATGAAAACTGACTCCAGTGGTGCAGGTTATGCATTGCCCTTTGTTTCTCCGGATTCATTTTTGTCACTGACTAAAGTAGGGACCTGTGCTAATTTAGATTAGATTCCCTGGGAAGAGATTCTGAGATGGAGGTTTACATGGAGGAAATTTATTGGAAAGCATAAGGATCAACACTTTTTGGGAACAGAGGGAAAGCAAGAGTCGAATAGTGTAGCATTCTACCAATAAAGCATCATCTGATGCCACAGGGAACTCTAGAGCTGAAGAGGGCCCATCGGATCCCTCCCACTTGGACAAGAGGGTTGGGTCTTTACACAGAAAGTCACCATATAACAAGTCACTTGATAAAGGGTGCCCCAGGTAGGGGGCTGCCTTCAGCTGAGGATACTTCCTGCGGGAGGGCTCAGTTTTTGAGCAGTGTATCAGCCAACACTCCCATCAGCTGGGGGAGTGAATGTCTCAGTCCCAAAAGGATGTCTGGATGGTTAATCATGACATCCACTAACCTCTGCCTCATTTTTGATTAAGTACATCTGGAAGAGCTAATAGGCTGTCCAAACAATTTGTTTCAAGTCAATAGTATTTTTAAAAATTCATATTCAAGATTAAGAGTTTAGGCTTTGGCTGACCTGCATTGGTATCTCCTTGTCCCCACATACCACTTGTGTGACTTTGAGCAAACTGTGTAATTTCTAAACTCTGATTTCTATGCAATGTAAATAACCTGTCAGGGTTACTGTGAGGATAAATAGGCACTGTTACTTTTCAGAACTTTTTGTCTTAAAATTTAAAGTTGGATTCAGTACAAAGAATTTTATTGTACTTTTGCTCTTCCAATTACTCTAGACTCCTTGATCACCATCACTCAGAAATCGCAGGAAACTTCTGCACATTGAAATAGCAGCTCTCACTGCTGCATACAACAGCTCACATGGGTCTTCTGATCAGTGGCACTGATTTGAAGCTCGTCTCTGCGACACCTCTAACTTTGAATTCAACATAAACACCTAATAAGCACATACAGAGTGACAGGCACTAGTTGGGTAGTCAGCAAACTAAATCCAGCCTACCTGTTTCTGTAAAGCCCAAGAGATAATAAATTGCTTTTACATTTAAGGGCTGTTTATGGGACGGGCACAACATGCAACAGCGACCAAATGTAGTCCACAATTGGGCCCTTCCAAGAAAAATGTTCAGACTCCTGGCCTAGGCATAACACATAAAAGTAAACAGACAAAATCATTAGGTAAGCGTTATGAAGAAACAAAGGGCTGTTAGAAAATCAACAGGTGACTTGACTACAGAAATAGGGTGGTCAAAGAAAGTCATCTCACAAACTGATGTATAAAGCTGGAACCTTGCAGGGTAGGAGCTACCATGTGAAGAGGGAAGAGCAAAGGAGAAAACAGTCTATGTGCTCAGAGCATAGTGGAGGGTGGGGACAGATGACGCAGGGCTTTAGATGTTATTTGGATTTTATTCTAAGTTCCAAAAGGAAACCACTGATCTGGTTACCATGTGGATAAAGGACTTGAATGACACAGGGAAGCAGGAAGCATTTCCCACTTTCTATCATGGAGCCAGAGTTCTGGTAATGCTATGGCCTGTCTACACCTCACTTCCCTTTTTCATGCAGAAGCCTGACAAAGGTGGGATGGATCATGGACTCTGACTGACTCACTTTATTTCCTTAAGATATGCAGACAGAGAGGGGTTTAATGATAGCACCTTACAAGGTAGTGTTTATTGGGGCGCCTGGGTGGCTCAGTTGGTTAAGCATCCGACTTCGGCTCAGGTCATGATCTCAGTTTGTGGGTTTGAGCCCTGTGTCGGGCTCTGTGCTGACAGCCAGCTCAGAGCCTAGAGCCTGTTTCAGATTCTGTGTCTCCCTCTATCTCTGACCCTCCCCTGCTCACGCTGTCTCTCTCTCTCTCAGAAATAAATAAAAACATTAAAAAAAAAAAAAAAAAAAAGGTAGTGTTTGTTTTAGGTGACCTCCCGGCTCCTTTTCTGGCTCTTGATGTATTAGCTTCACATTCTTCATATAGTATCCTTCTCCTACCTCTTGGATTATCTAGAAATCTCCCATTTCAGAGGTCTCACACTCTAAACTTATCTTGATTCAACCTGAGAGTCTGGTTTAGGAATGACTACAGAGAAACAATTGGGAGATTTAGGACTAATTTTCATGCATGAGGTGTATTATGCATGTTACTATCAGACTTAACTTTAGTTTCATGTTGTCATAACCAGAGTGTTTGTTGAATGGCTTTTGATACTATGAACGAACCTTAAGTATTTTGTAGTCTGGTGTCTTAAATATAAGTAAATCTTAACTTCTTATGTACTAATAAAATTGATTTGGCTATTATCTGAATCTTTATCTTTTGAATATATTTTCTTCTAGAGAAGAAATGGATCTAAAGATAGCCTGATTGAAGAAAAATCTCAGACATCTACAAGCAATCTGGCTGGAAAACACACAGCAAAAACAGTAAAAACTGTACAAGCTTCACGCCTCAAGATAGACTTGATCCAATGAAGGGTTTGGGATTAGGGGTGGGAAGGGTGTGTGTGCCACCTTTACTTTCAAACTGTGAATTATTCAAGTATCTTGGACCTGCAAAGTTTCTTCAGAAAAAAATGGGATTCTGTTGCATCTTTTAAAGGTTTAACAGTGTATTTGTGCCGAAGGGCCTTTCTGTTCGGCATCTGGAATAGTCTTCTGAAAACTCATCGCCTTGATGCCCTATTTTCCTTCCTGGAAACTCCAAGTTATCTCGTGTCCACAACCAGGATCAGGTGGTTCTGATCGAAGCTCTGGAATCCTGGTATGCAGCTGCCTCGCTGTGCAAGGGTATACCAAGTGAGTGAAAAGGTTCTTCCCATCTCTAGGTTGGTCTCAGCCAGTGCACAGACATATGAAGACTGAGATCTCACTTTAAGATTGGAGAGGTTTTTATTCATATAAATGTTCTTTGTAATACTGTATTTTGTGGCATTAAGTCCCACTGGTTATTTACAGATGTAAAAAGCTTTTTAAGTGTTGCTTTTAATTTCTAGTGTCCTTGTGTTTTCAGAAAAAAGAAAATGCGATGTGTGGATTTCAGTTGGCCTCAGTTTTATAAATTCATAAAACAACCTCAAATGGTGTCTCCCTCCTGCCTGGCTACCTAACTTCCAGAAAGACTAGTTCATCTGAGGATGACTTTGCAGTCCACTTTCCAGAGAAAATAGAAATACTCATGCAGGACATCTTTCACCTCCCTACCCCCAAACTTCCAGTCGGCAGTCATCTCGAATACTTCCCTTCCTCCTGTCCCTGCACCTGTGTTTTGGAACCCACTCTCCTTCAGCCTTCTTGTCCCTGTCAACTTTCCTCTCAGTGATATACCTGCCACGTGGCTTTAAATTAGTAACTCTCCCATGTAAAAAAAAAAAAAAAAAAAAAAAAAAGCCAACCAACTTTTCCAACCAGAAATCCTCTCCAGCTATTTTTCTCTCCCATTCCAAGTTTCTCAAAAGGATTATCTGTAGCTGGGGTCTTCTAACCTGGACTGTAAACTGTTACCATCCTCCTCCACTACAGACCTCACTAAAATCACCTGTGCCACCAAATCCCAAAGGTTAACTTTTAGGCCTCCCCCTTGCCACTTTAGTGGAGTGCTTCATTGTTTGTACTGCTGTGACCATCTTTTACTGCTCTTCAGTAAGATGCTATTCTACCTCACCAATTAGTTTCCCAGAGCGTAGCCCTCTCCCTCTACCCCAGATGGATTTCATCTATGCCCACAGCCTTAAGGTTTATTTCCATAGCGTAGTCTGTTTCTGCCAGGCCATTTAGATACCTCAAAGGCAATCCCAATTCAACTAGTTTAAAATGCTGCTCCCTGATGGATTCAGGACCACTATGCATGTGAATGTGCAAGACTACACACCTACAGTCATTAGAAGACCCCTCCCCTCTTACCAAGCCCTGTTAGCTTTGCTCTCTATAGCTTAGTGATCTCCAAATTCTACTACCACCCTGGTCCAAGGTGGTCATCTCCTGCTTACACTGATTCACCCGCATCTCTTATAGATGTCAACTATAACATTTCCCCTTGCTTTAAACAGCCATACGTGGTCTTTTTTCCCTGCTCAGGCTCGTTTTGTAACACCCATAGGCTCCCTTAACAGCCGTCTATCTTCAAGCCTCATTAAGTACTCAAAACTGTGTCTAAACCAGGGCGCTTAAGAGGGAATGTAACTACAGCTGTCACAAACCTGGACCTTTTCTGGCCCAAGGCCTCTGCATATGCCATTTCCAACTTTCCCTCACAAAAATGACACCTACCCTTAGTCTCAACCACTTTCTCAGGTTTCCTGGACTTGCTCAACTCATGCATGAGACTTGCCTCAAGGAGATAGTTTTACATTTGTGATGACATTTCTGCCATTCAACTCTAAGCTTCCAAAGGGAGGGACTGTGTTTTGCTCACCCTTGTGTTCCCACCTCCTAGTGAGTTACTGAAAAACTCAATAAATTTTTCAAATGCCTGAAGAGTATTTTTTCTTTCCTACAAAGTCAAGGTGGAGGGTATGTGGACCACCATCTAGTAAAAATAAAAATGCAGGGACAATGTGAAACACACCTGTGACCTAGAACCCAACTAGTCTAGTTCACTAGGCCGACACTGAAAGCAAGCACTTGGTTCTCCTTAATTAGCTCTGAATATCAATCTAAACTGCTGAGATTAAACCATGCTGAAGTTTCTGGGGGAAGAAAGAGAAACCCTCCTTTTCCCTTTCAGTGAAAATGCTATTTGCTGACAGTTAATACACAAACCTCCAAGAAGCACAAGGAAATATTTATTCATAGCTCCACTATTTTAAAGGTACATTTACGGACAGTCCCAAAACAATAAATTTAGTACCCTTCAGACTCCTGGGAATTTTAAATGAACCAAGTAACTCTTGTCAAGATTTCCTGTGATGTTTTTGAATTCCTCATCAGGGACATCCTAAAAGACAAAATAAAGCACTCAATTTGACAAACAGTGATGTACATCGATTAAAATCTTCATAATAAAACTCAGTATATCCTTCTGAACCGCATTCTGGGCTCAGCTTTAATATCCACGTAAAACCTGAGATTTGGTTAAATGTTGGGAATTTAGTTACTATATAGAGAAACATGTATTTTAAAATTCCAAAAATAAGCTGGGAAAGGTTTTCCTACTGGCCATTAACTTCACCTTGTTAAATATACGTTGCGGTACTCATTTTTTTTTAAATTTTATTTTTTAAAATTTACTTCTGAGAGAGAAGTGAGCTCACAGCGTGAGCAGAGGAGGGTCAGAGAGAGGGAGATACAGAATCTGAAACAGACTCCAGGCTGGGCTGGCAGTCAGCACAGAGCCCAATGCGGGGCTCAAACCCCCGGACCATAGTACTAATTTAAACACCCACGAAAGCACCCCCAATCTAAAAAATGAAATTTGCATTACAAATAACTGCTTTATGAAAGCAAATCAGTATCATCCTACCTTAGGTCACCTTTGGTGCTCCCCAAAAGGATTCAGCTAGCAACAGGGTAAGCTTCAAGCATCCATCTTTGACCTGAACAAAATGTGGTTAAAAACTGTTTAAGAGGAACTATACATTTAAGACTCAAGATCACACGTGCAAACTAATATAAAAGCATAAGCTGTTACTTATGCAGCTCCTACACCAAAGATACCAAATTCTAGGTCAGGAAAAGGCTGCAAAGTGTTTAGTTTACGCCTTTTTTGACACCACATTCACTAGTTTCCAAAGTGAATGGGCAACACAAAGGCTACAAGACAACTAATTAAGGACTGCTCTATCTCTGGCACAACGTTGCTGACCCCATAATGGACTCTTCTGTGAATAAGAGTTCAAAGAGGATTAATCCCAGCTGTAGATTTTTCTTTTACAATTCAAACCACCTACTAGGTTAACGAGAACTGCAATAGAAAGCATTTTAAGCGGTTAAAATCTTCAAGAGCTGATATGCAACTGGTTCTTCTTGCACTAAATGCAAACTCACCTGCAACGCTGATGCCACTCGCTCGCCAAGTTCTGGATCTTGAAACAAATATTAAGATCTAAACCTTAATATTAAACGGCACTTGACTCCTATTTAGCCTTGAACTCAAATGTGATACGTTAGGCATACATGCAGTGACAGTGACGTCTTTCTCTTTCACAAGAAATCTCTGCTTCCATTAAAAACTCCCTCTGACACACGGTCCGTGTCCAATAAACTCAAATGCATTCAAACCCATCTTCCACTTCCTGGCGTGGGAACGCAGCCTTGGGGCCCCGTCGGGGCTTCCCGAGGTCCACGGACAACGTGGCCGAGACCAGGCAGGGCCGCTGCCCTCCATGCACTCCAGGGACGGGACCCTCGGGCCTGGCACAGCCACGAAGCACATCTCATCACTCTCAGAGCACCTTGTACCCTTCGGAAACCAAGAAGCCCCGCGCCCCGTATCCCTGCCACCCCCGAAATCGCGCAGCAGCCCTCCCAGGCCGGAGCGCAGAGGCAGAAAAGGCCGCGCTCTGCTCCCACAATGCTTTTCTACGACTGGAAGGACCCACTGTCCGGAGAGCACGGGGAGAACGGACTGTACCACTGGTCGCTGCGCCCTCTCGAGACGCCGCCGTGCGGCGCGAGGGGCGAAGTGCCCCGTGATTGGCTGTGGGGCGGGGCTCCAGGAGGAAAGAAGACGCAGGGGCTTGGGGTCACCGCCCCAGGTGTGCATCTTGCGACCCGTGCTTCCGCCTGGGAAGGTTTTTTTTTTTTTCCCACCTGCCCGCTTCCCAGGGTCGCGAACACTTGGTCTACGCTGAGTCGCGGGTGTAACTCAGTGGACTTGAGACCTCGTGTTCTTCAGTCTCCGGCTGAGGAAGAGTAAGGCCCTTCCTTCAAAGAATATTTCTAACGAACTTACGAGTCTTCAGGCCCCGTCCGGAATGCCTGGGACTCAGGTGTGAATGAGGCCAGGGTTCCTGCCTTAACGTTCTAGTTGGACGAGAAAGGCACTAAACAGGTAACATGGACACTGTGGGTCCAGACCGTGTGTTAAGGAGGAAAACCAAAGAAGGTAATGTGGTAGAGCAGCGCTGTCCCATGGAAATATCGTGCGGACCACGACTACCATTTTAAATGTTCATATTGCCACAAAAAAAGTAAAAAGGAACAGGTTAAATTAGTGTCCGTTGTAAACTCAACATGAAATCAATATAAAATCATTCATGACTAGTGTTATGTATTAATGATATATTTTGCATTAAAGTCCGGTCTATATTTTATGCTTCCAGCGCGTTTCAGTTCAGACTAGTCACATTTCCAGTGCTGAGAAGCAGGCCTTGCCCAGGGTGGCTGCAGGCGCCTGAGGAGTGCAGAGTGGCCTAAGACAGCAGCTGAAGAGACAGGTAGGAGCAAATCATATAAGGCTTTGTACCTGTGATGGGAGGTGGGAATTTAGGCTGAAATTCTAGAGTTGATTAATTATGACCACAGAAGTAAAGCAGAGGTTGTTAATTGGCTTTTTGCCTGATAACCATAACTCATGGAAGGGATAGAGACTGAAGTAAAACCTGCTGTGGGATAGCAGGGGTGTCTCCTTGCTCCTGTAAGCCCTAGCGGAGAGTCCTCCGGAGACCTCATGCCAGCACCTTTCCTTGTTTCTTTCAATCTCCTGAAAAGGAGAAAGAAAAAGAGAAAAGAAAAAGAAAATTTAAGCTCACAGCTCAGTGGTCATCACATAAGGATCAGCCTGAATGATAACATCAAGTCAAGGACAAAGGGGACATGCAGAAGGAGTAAACGTGTAATAATCACAAGAGAGGAACTAACTAAGACCCTCATTAGGAAGTCACTGTAACTTCTGGGAGAGAGAAAGGTTGGGCAAAGAGGATACCTCAGGAGTATAATTTCAAGACATTGAAGGGAACAGTGTGGGGTTCATAAGAAATCTCAAGCTTGTCTCCTTGCTAGGGGAAGTCAGGGAGAGGAGCTTCCCTTGGGCTGGAGCAGCCCCTAGACCTAGGTTTACATCCAACTCTGACATTTGATCTCTTAGGTAAATGACCACCTCTCTGAGCCCCAAGTTTCCTCATTTACAAGATAATAACTATACCCATGAACCACATGTTAGCTTAGAGAATTAAGAAAGTAGAATCATCTAGCACTGTGTAATATATAGTAACATCCAACAAATGACTCCTAGGAGCTGAGCTCTTGTGTTCATTTATCACCACCCCAGGTATGGAATAATCTTGGGTTGAATTCTTAAGGAAAGGAGAAATATGCCGATGTTTTTCTTTTAATGGCTTGACATTTTTGCTCCCGCCTTCCTCTTTCCTATTCTCCCCTTTATATCTCTTTCCCAAACTCTGGATGTCTTCAAGAGTAGATAGAGGGGAGGTATTTGTTCCAATTACTGGATTAGTGTTGTTGTCAGGAAATCAGTTCTAAATTCTTCATCTTCCTGTCTGCTTCAACCTCACAGAACCTGATAAGGAAAATCCAGTAATTAAGCCAAGGCAAGCAGCAAGGACGCAGGAAAAATACAGAGGATGTTTTGTACCTAGTTTTCCCACCACCCTTGCCTGCTGGGGCTGAGGCATTATATAAGGATATACAAGCTACAGGCAGTGATAGTGCAAACATGGAACAGGCTGGGTTTCCTTGCAGGGTAGGGAGAGTCATGGTCCCCCAAATGTTCCACATTCTCATCTGAACCTGTGAATACATGATTAATGTTAGGGACCATGAGATGAAATAGAAACCAAAGAGGAAGGCAGAAGAATTAGAGACGTGGCAGGAGAGGGACTCAACTTTCCATTGCTGGCTTTGAAACTGGAGGAAGAAGATCTTTGAAGCCAAAGAATACGGTTTCAGCTCTACAAGCTGGGAATGGCGCTCCGCTGACAGCAAGGACCAGAAACTTCATTTCTACAGCTGCACGGAACTGACTTCTGCTAACAACCTGGATGAGCATGGAAACCGATGCTCTCCTGGAGTCTCCAGAAAAGAGCACAGCCGTGCTGGTTCCTTGATTTTAGCCAGTGGGGCTCATGCCACACTTCTGTCTACAGTGGTATGAAAAAAAATTTGTGTTGTTTTAAGCTGCTAAATTTGTGTTAATTTGTTATGGCAGCAAACAAAACAAAACAAAAACACCCTGTAAGGGGCAGAGAGTGAGAAGTGAGCTGTTTTTCTTAGCCTCCTCCTTGTCCCACTCCAATTGTCTCATCAGGACTCTAAGTACAATATTGCAGATAAGCTATGCATATTTCATTCTAACCATGTGGCGGTGATGTTTGTTTATAGTGGGTGCTATAGACCCAAATTAATATCCAATAGATAGTAAATAACTTGAATATTTTTTATAATTTAAAGTCCCTTGTAGATTTTTGGGGGGTTTCTTTTTAAAAAAACACGTCATCTGCAAAAGCTTTATCTCTTTTTCATTCTTTTTTAAAAAGTTTATTTTGAGAGAGAGAAAGTACATGAGCATATGCACAAATTGAGGAAAGGGAGAGAGAGAATCCCAAGCAGTAGCCACACTCAGCATGGAGCCGGATGTGGGGCTCAAACTCACAAACCTTGAGATTATAACCTGAACTGAAATCAAGAGTCGCACGCTCAACTGACTGAGCCACCTAGTGCCCCTCTTTTTATTTCAAATAGTAAAATTATAATGGGTGACTTGTTAACCAAACCAGTTTCCTAAAATATAACTAAAATATGGTAAGCAAACTTCCACTAATAACAAAGTATAACATTAGGATGTAAATATTCATAACTTTGCTTCCTGAATCACTAAACAATATAGTTGTTAACAAATAGTTCCTTTGTTAGCAGTAACATCCTCTCATTTTTACTACTTTTCCACTTTTTCTTCCTTCTCCATTAAGTTCTTTAATACTTTGTCAATATTTTTGGTTCTTATTCTATATAACTATGGAAAAGGCAATATGAAATATGAAGGACACTGTGGGAATGTGACAGAAGGATTCACACTGAGGAGATATTTTAATGGTTTTATCACCAGTAGCATTTGTGTGGAATATTCCCTTCTTTGATATTCAGTATGCTTTTGATTTGCTGACATGATGTGGACATCTTACCAATGTTTTAAGTCATTTCCTATACCTTTGTTGTTGGTGGTGGTAAAAATGTATTGAGTTTTGGGATGCTAAATAAGATATTTCCTACATAAATATGAGTTGAAATGTTAGTTTGAGAGATAAATATGTTGTACGATGTTGGAGAATTAAATACAAGAGGGCATTTACTGGGAAAATACCAATCAGAGAAATGTTCTGTGGAATATGCCTGTAATGGCTTTATAAATTTACTTGGAGAACTTTTTCTTTTTTTTTTCTCTTCTCCAAAAAAATTAATAGAATGCCAGGATTAATTTTTTTTAATGTTTATTTATTTATTTTTTGAGAGAGAGAGAGAGAGAAGCGGCGCTCATCCGGGGCTCTTGTTTTCCTTGAAATGGGGCTTGTGCTCATCAGAAGCAGGGCATGAGCTCACCTGAAACTGGGTTTGAACTAACAAACTGTTGAGATCATGACCTGAGCCAGAATCAGATGCTTAATGACTGAGCCACCCAGGCGCCTGAATATAAGTCACGGACTTTTAAGACTATCTGGGTCTAGTATTTTCTCTGTGGGAAAAATTTAAACTATTGATTCAATTTCTTTAATGGTTATAGAACCATTCAGACTTTTTCTTCTTTAGTCATGTTTGGAATGACTTCCAAGCATCTTTCGTAGGAAAATGTCCATTTCTGCCATGTTTTCAAGTTTGTTGGCAGAAAGTTGTTCATTCTTAGTTTTTTCACTTCACACCAACCAATTCTTTGATTGTTTGACACCAACTGGGTGTCCAACAATTCGTTTAAACTCTGATACTAATTCCCTTGAGTTAACATCAGACCCCAAAGGTTAAGAGCTGACTCCTGCAAGACTGCCCTTATTTCATTTGCCAGTTGGAGTGGTTTGGCCAGGCTACTTACACTTTTTCCCAAACCAAAAATTTGGGGGTTAACATGACTCTTACCCCACCTCAGGTTCGATAATTCACTACAATGACTCAGATGCTCAAGACAACACTTTACTTACTATTACCAGTATATTATAGAGGCTACAACTCAGGAACAGCCAGTGGAAGAGATGCATAGGGCAAGGTATAATGTGGTGAGGAGCATGGAGTTTCTGTGCCTTCTCTGGGTACACCACCCTCCCGGCACTTGGATGTATTAACCAACCCAGAATCTCCCTGTCTGGGAGTTCTTATGGAGGTTCCACTACACAGGAATAATTGGTTAAATCACTGGCTGTTGATTGAACAAAATCTCTAACCCCTTGCACTTTTCCAAAGATGGGGGTCGGATGAGTAGAGCTGAAAATTCTAGTTCTCTAGTCACGTGGTTGGTTCCTCTGGCAAGAAGCCCCACTCCTGATGCTACCAAGGGAGACCACCAAGAGTCACCTTAATGACAAACTCAGGTATGATTGAAACGGGCTTGTCACGAATAATAAAAGATGCTTTTGTCACTCAGCAAATCCAAAGGTTTTAGGAGCTCTGTGCCAAGAACCAGGGACAAAGACCAAAAATAGATTTGTTATACCTTAATTATATTGTCTGATTATCCTTTTATTTTACTTTTAATTAATTTTATTGAGATGTAATTGATATATGACATTGCATTAGTTTCAGGTATGCAACAGTGATTTGACATGTGTATATGTTGCAAAATTTAAGTTTAGTGACATCCATCACCACATACAGTTACAACTTTTTCTTGTGCACTTTAATGATTTACTCTTTTAGCAACTTTTACATATACAATACAGTATTAACTATAGCCACCATGCTATACATCCATCCCTAGGACTTTTTTATCTTAGAACCGGAAGTTTGTATTTTTTGACCACCTTCACCCAATTTTCCTACCCCCCTTGCCCCCGCAAATAAGTGAGAGCATACAGAATTTGTAATTCTCTAACTTGTTTTACGTAGTATAATATCCTTAAGGTCTATCCACCCATATCATTGCATGTAGCAGAATTTCCTTCTTTTTTAATGCACATTATACACACACACGTGCGTGTGCGTGGGCACATACACACACACACACAGATAAAGCAAATACATATGCCTTTTTAGATATAAGACTTGCTTTATCCTTCCTTCATGGATTGGCAGTTAAGTTTTTTCCATGTCTTAGCTATTGTAAATATTCAAGATGTTGATTTCATCTTCTTTGGATAAATACCTCAAAGTGAACTTGCTGGGTCATAAGGTAATTCTATTTTTAATTTTTTGGGGAAACTCAATATTGTTTTCCATAGTGCCTGCACCAATTTACATTCCCACCAACAGTGCACAAGGAACCCCTTTTCTCCACATCCTTACAAACATTTGTTATTTCTTGTCTTTTTGATAATATCCATTCTAACAGGTGTGAAGTGGCATCTCATTGTGGTTTTGATTTACATTGCTCTGATTATTAGTGATGTTGAGCACTTTTTCATGTCTTTTGACCATCTGTATGTCTTTGCCAAAATATATATTCAGATCCTCTGCCCAATTTTAAATTGGATTGTTTGGTTTTTGCTATTGAGTTGTGGGAGTTCCTTGTGTAGTTTGGATATTAGTCCCTTGTCAGATTTGCACATGTTTTCTCCTATTCTGTAGGTTGCCTTTCCATTTTGTTAATTATTTCCTTTGCTCTACAGAAGCTTTTTAGTTTGGGGTATTCCTATGTATTTATTTTTGTTTTTGTTGCCTTTGCTTTTGATATAAAATAAAAAAAAATCATTGCCAAGACTGATGTCAAGGAGCCTACTCTCTGTCTATATTTACTCTTAGGTGCTTTATGGTTTCATGTCTATATGTTCAAGTCCTTAATTCATTTTGAGTTGATTTTTTTATACGGTATAAGTTAGTGGTCCAGTTTCATTCCTTTGAGTGTTGTCTTTCAGTTTTCCCATCAACATTTGTCGAAGACTGTCCTTTCCCCATTGTATGTTATTGGTTCCTCTGCCATATATTAATTGACCATACATGTCTGAGTTTATTTCTGGGCTCTCTGTTCTGTTCTATTGATCTATTATGCTATTTTGATTACTATAGCTTTGTAATAGAGTTTAAAGTCAGGAAGTGATGCTTCCAGCTTTATTTTTTCCTCAAGATTGCTTTGGCTATTTGGTCTTTTGTGGTTTCATACAAATTTTAGGTTTTGTTTATTCTATATCTGTGAAAACTGCCATTGGATTTTTTTTAATGCTTATTTATCTTGAGAGAGAAAGAGTGTGGGTATGAGCACAGGGGAAGAGAGGAGAGAGAGAATCAGTGCTATCCGCAGAGCCCAACATGGAGCTCAATCCCATGAACTCTGAGATCGTGACCTGAGCTGAAATCAAGAGTTGGACGCTTAACTGAGTAAGACACCCAGGCACCCTGCCACTGGAGTTTTGATAGGGATTGCATTGAATTTGTAGATCATTTTGGGTGGTAGGGACCTTTTAGCAATGTTAATTCTTCTAATCAATGAGCATTGAATATGTTTCCATTTATTTATGTCTTCTTTAATTTCCTTTACCAGTGGCATATAGTTTTCATTGTACAGGTCTTTTACCTCCTTGGTTAAATTTATTCCTATGCATTTTATTCTTTTTGATGCAGTTATAAATGTGATTGTTTTCTTAATTTCTCTTTCTGCCCATTTTGTGTACAGAAAAACAACTGATTTTTGTATAATGATTTTGTATCCTGCAGCTATACTGAATTCATTTATTAGTTCTAATTTTTTTGTGGTCCTGAAGTTTTTCTGTATATAATATCTTGTCTGGAAATAGAAACAGTTTTACCTCTTCTGTTCTGATTTGGATGCCTTTTTCCCCCCCTTTTCTTGACTACTGAATCTAGCTTGACTTCCACTACCTGGATGAATAAAAGTGGCAAGAGTGGGCATCCTACTCCTGTTCCAAGAGAAAAGTCTTCAATTTTTCACTGTTGAGTATAATGTTAGTGGGCTTGTCATATATGGCATAAAGTATCACTGTGTTGAGATGTGTTCCCTCTATAGCCACTTTGAAAGTTTTA